ATTTCAAGGTTCTATGGTTAATAGCATTTTTCAGAGAATTTTCATCACTTTAGGATCAATAGCAATGCATCCTAAATGGGATTTGCCAGCATTTTTCTGATACTGCTTGTACCCAGTCTTGTTTAGTCTTGTTTTAATATATTGTCTGTACATTTTATACTAAAAACAAATGAAAGAAAAGCATGACAATGTAATTTAGACAAAATTTAACTTTTGACTGATGTTAGTTTTATACAGAAAATATACATTTTGATGAGGACTGATATAGGATATTTATTCTCTTTCTCTCTCTCTCTCCAAGGAGCAAACATATTCTGCAAAGCTTTTTTGCTCCTTTAAAAGAAGAGGCATTCTTATCAGTCTGTTTTACAATGCATGGTTTTTCTACCAGACAAATATTTATCTGAGGTTCAATTTTGACCAATTTAAAATTTATTGGTAAATCCATGGACAAATACAAAATGTTTTGCGAATATTATGCATTGTAGGTAATATGGAAACACCAATTAATCATGATAAATGCTGACTTAAGGCTCATAATACATGTCGTTCATAAACATACATTTTTGTAGCTTTAAAAAAATTACCAAAACGTTTTGTACAACTGAATATTTACTCATAAAACAACAGCAGATTACATTTTAATTTAGAGTAAGAAATTTAACTGGTGTTTTATCAGAATTTAAAGTATTTTAATAAGGTATTGCCATTGGTCTAAATATAAAGAATTAAGGAATGCTTGTAATCAAATGATGGTAATTATTGATTTGCATTATTAATTTATCTTATTGTAAATCTAAAAGTTTGTAAAAAATACTGAAATAGAAGTATTGTATATTAGATTATTAATACTATATTTAAATAGGAAAAATGATGTTACAAACCAAGCTCCCTTTACCCTTCAAGAAAAGCCTTACATTATAGACTTTATTCAGCTGTTTTGAAAATCTTGCTTATACAATAAAATCTGGGCACTTGATTTTCTGTTCTGTTTAACCACTTATTTTTTAAAGCAGTCTGAACTTCATAAATAAATTATTTTAATACCATCTACTTTGAAACTTAATTGTTTTATCTTAACAGAATTATTACTCCCATCAGACGAAATTTTTGACTTGTCCTACTATTCCATTTTAACCTTAAAAACATACCGACAACAGGATACTGGGATATATACTGGAATCATGTACTCAGCATGAACAAACTGAGAAAGCAGAAGTAATGCTTGAACTTAATGAGACAGAAAAAGAGGCTATACAGAGTAAGCAAATATAAAGATACAAAGAATAAAATGCAAAATACAAGATGCTATATATGTCTCAGTAGGAATAAAGCCTTGGCAAGAAAAAAGTACTAAACTATAAGTATATGTATACAAATCCAAAAATAAGAAAGAAAGAAATCATGAAAAAGAATGCAAAGTTAAGCATGAAACAGCAATTACAGAGAAGTTGGGTAACGTATGAGCAGAGTCTAAAATCCTCCTTGAAAATGGTCACAAATGCATTTGAAATGGTCACATACCATTTTGAAATTATAATCTTTTATTAATCCTCTGACTAGCATAGGGTTTTTCTATGAAAGCCCAAATTTCTCAAAACTGCCATGAGAAAAGAGGAATTTTCTTGATTTTAATGTCAAAATATGACTGGTAAATTATATTTGGATTTATATACTTTCAGTATATTGCCTTAATTTCTTGGACATATTTCAAGATGTATGTATATACAAAGTAAAAGCTTGACTACTCAGAGAGCTCATGAGATCAACTCAGATACATGAAAATTGCAGCTAGTTGAGCATACAAAAAACAAAATTCACACTAGGAAACCGAAATTGGTGAGAAACATTTCTGTTCTAAAATTATAAAACAATCCTTTCATTTGTTATCAACTTGAATATCAAACCCACATTTAAAATTAAGAGTCTGAAAAATGCATTTCAGTTTTATAAAAAACTTACGTATTTCAAAGACCTAGTCCAGGGGTCAGCAACCTGCGGCTCGCGAGCCACATGCGTGGATGTGAAGCTGCAGCTCTTTAATTCCATACGCAAATATTAGATGAGTCTTGTGACATAAAAGACACAGTTGCCCTTTTTGTCAGGTATACGTCTTCTCAAGATCTAAAAGAACTTTTAGGATTGCTACCACTCTCGGGACAAAATAGAGGGGAAGATATAGCGAATGCCGTGCAAAAATGCCTTGAAGGCAATAAGATTGATTTAAATAAAATCATTTCAATAGCAACTGATGGAGCCAGAAGCAAGACAGAAAAAAATAAAGGGGTAGCAACGATTCTTCAGAGCAAAATAAACCAAGAAATTCTTATGTTTCACTGCATAATACACCAAGAAGCGCTTTGTGCCCAAACATTTCCGGCCGAAATAATTGAGGTCATGAATTTGGTAATCAAGATTGTTAACAGCATCTTGTCAAAAGCACTGTACCATCATCAGTTTAAAGAATTCTTAAACGAAATGGAGACTCAGTATTCCAATCTCCTTCTTCACAATAAAGTGCGACAGCTTTCCAAAGGAAAGGTGTTGAAACGTTCTGCTTTGTGCTTGAATGAAATAAATACATTCCTAAATGAAAAAGGGCATTAATCACCCTGAATTAGAGAATGACAAATGGTTGCAAAAATTTTACTTTATGGTGGATGTCACAGCGAAATTAAATGAACTGAATCTAAGACTGCACGGAAAAGGAAACCTAGCCTATATTTTGGAAGAAGAATGAATTGGTTTGTTTTAAAGAAAAAATAATTCTTTTTGCAGAAGATATTCAGAGTGGTAAATTACTTCATTTTCAATTTCTAAATCAATATCGCGATAAAACCAGTGCCACTGTTGACATGAATTACTTCAGCATAGTTATAAAAAAAATTAAACATGAATTTGCTGACAGATTTGAGCAATTCAAAACCAACAAAACCACTCGAGCATTCATAGTAAACCCTCTCAACACAAACAGTAACGAAATCCACATTGAACTATTTGGAATTGATACTAGATCTCTAGACATGCAATTGATCGGTTTAAAAAGTAAAGCTTTGTGGAGTGAAAATTTACAGAGTTCAAAAGCAAGTTGAAAGAGTTGGAGGTCCAGAAATGAATGTACGTAACACAACAAAAGTGGACAGCTTTAAAAGAAATGCCACGAGTTGAAGCACTTATATTCGACGCATGGAATAGTCTTCCAGATTGCTACAGTGAGGTGAAGAAGTTGGCATTTGGAGTGCTGACTATCTTCGGATCAACATATTTGTGCGAGCAAGCGTTCTCTTGCATGAATATAATTAAAAGTACAGTAAGAAGCCAACTAAGAAATAAAAATTTTAGAGTCGTGTTTGAAACTTAAAACAACAAGTTATGAGCCAAAATTATCAAAACTTTTTTAAATTATGCAAAGCCAACGCTCCCATTGAATTTGTTTGCTCAGATGTATGTTTTTTTTTTTTATTTTATTTTTAAGTACAAGTTACATTGTTTAGTAAAGTTTAAATTTTCTACTTGAATAACCATGCAAAGCCATCGCTCTCATTGAATTTGTTTGCTCAATTGTTTGCTATTGAAGCACAAGTTAGTGTTGTAAGAAAATGTTTGTTTTAATTTTTTACTTAAATAATAATTAATTTATCTAATAATTGCCCATATACAATTTAATTTGTCGTGAAAAACACTATTTACATATGAATATATAGATATTTTTCTTATGAATAAATAGATATTTTTTCTTATGAATAAATATATTTTTTTTTATCTAAAAACTTTATTTATACGAGTACTATTTATTGTTGGCAAGAAAACATTTGGTGGCACTTTGAAATTTTGTAAATTTTAATTTTTGAATCTTCTGACTCAAAAGGTTGTCGACCCCTGACCTAGTGCAATTATGAAAGTATGCCGAACACAGAAGTTGGCAGAGATGTTGCCGATCATTCCGGCAGAAGCTTAAATGAACATATCATTCTATAGTTAATTAGATACAAATTACAGATATAGCATGTAGAAAAAACTTAAATTGCTTATCGTATTTTTTGCATTACATTTTTACTGTTTATCTGTTTTCAAACTCTCACAACATGGCTTATTTTGATATCCGAATCCTGTAACCTCGAAAATATTCCATTTCATCCAATCCCAAATAGTATTAATCATTTTTTCAAAATGTGAGGAAGGAATATAATTAAAATTTTTCTTTATAAAAATTAAACCGGCTTTTTGAAGATTACTAAACTTACTAAAATGAATTTCTTATGATTGCATTGTGATATCATACTTATGCATTATTAGCGCTAAATCACACTGTTTCACAACAATGCATATGTGCTAATAGCATTACTAACTATCATGGCATAACAAATCTCTAATTTACTCATTTACTAAACATTTTAGGGAGTTAAATTTTTTTTCTAAAACTCTAAAATATTCCAATTACTTGAACTTTCAGTTAGTTGAATGCCAGATAGCCAGGAATTTTCCTTAAAAATGTCCCCAAAATGTCAACGGTTTAATGATGGTAACTGTTATAATTAATCTATCATATCAATTTGCAAAGACTAGAAACAGAAAAATTACTGAAAACAATTCAAGAGTAATTTAATAATTTAAAAAGTACTATGTATTGAACAATTACAAAAATAAAACACATTTCTAAAACTGTTTTTCCATAAAAAGTAATTTTGCTGGTAATTTCTCAATATGTATTATATTTAGAACTACTTTAGTCTAATAAAATCAAGATGCTTTGGTGCTTACGAAAAACATTTTTGATAATCTGGGTTAGGTTAGAGAGTGATCTGCTTAGAGAAGAATATTATAATTATTTGTATTAGTTTCTTTGTTACTAGAAATATTGGTTACTTTTAAATCTGATCATCTATGGAAAGTGACTGCCATGAAAGGGTTCATTATATTTACATTTTATTAGTTCAAAATTAAACATGATTTTCAAAGTTTTAACAATCTTTTAGTGCACAGCATTTTAATTTTCTCACCTGGCCCAATAACTTTAACATCCAATACTCCATTTCCAGCATTTTCAGTGAATATCTTGAAGTCTGCGATATCTTTAACACGAATGCCATTTTTCTGCAATCCTCTACCAACTGCTTTAACTTTACGAGCATCACAAACTGTAAAAGTTTTTTTAAAGTTGAATAATTTAAAATTTATCTGCATAATTAAGAAAATAGATCAAATATTTTAAATTGATAATAACTTCATGATGTTCAGATCATAATTTCAAAAATTTCAAAATATTAATTTCATACATTAGCATTAAAACTTACATATAAAAAAGAAACAGAGAAATAAACTGCCTTACCTAAGAAGTGATCATATCTGTATGAACTGGGATAATAATTTTATTGGAGGAGGGAAAGGTAAAATTTGTAGAATAGAATGGAATAAATTGTGAAAATTCAAAATTTTTAAAGCTAAATGGTTAATTATCAGTATATGTATATGTTGCAGAATAAATAAAGTAACATACTCACATCAAGAGTTACTTAAAGAAGCTACACAAAGGAAGGATACATAAAATATTTGATGTTTTGAGAAATAAGATAACTTCCATAAAATAATAACTATAGTTACCAGAAAAATTGTATAGCTTTATAATTATTTATACAAAAATTACAAAGGAAATAGTCATAGATTTTTCTCTTTAGCTTCTTTCTGGTGATGTATAATAAGGTGTTTATAATTTTTAGAAACAAACACCCGAACCATACACTGTATATTAATGTCCAATACATTTCTTCTTTCAGTGAATTCTCATAAATAAGAGTAGTCAGAATTATTCAAATGATATTAATGCAGAAATTGTAGATAAATGATATCTTTAAAATGTTAAGAACAAATTTTTAAGTACTTAAAAAGAAACTGCACCAAAAAAGTAACATTTGCATTATATACTATCTCAAGTCTAAAAGCATTTTTCTCAATAGAAAATAAACAAACATTATATAACAGTTATCCATAAGAATACTTTCCATCTTTATAAAAAGGCAAAGTAGATTAAATAGAAAAAAATATGTGCATAAATAGTTATCTAATGTTTAATGTGAAACTAATTCAATGTTCACAAATTATTTAATAATGATTTTATGTAGCAATTTATTCAAATATATGCTTAAATAGTTATGAAAAACCCAAGAAATGGAACTAGCCATATTCAATGATTTTATCTAATTGTCACATTGATTTTTAGGATTAGGAAATTAAAAATGTTCCCTGTTCAGAAATTTTTTAAAATATGCTTTTTAATAAAATTAGACATGAAATAGCAAAAATATAGTCATACTAAGAATTACTTCATTTAATATAAAAAACAACAGTTTTTAAATTAATTTATAATTCCACTTTAATACACAAAACTAACCTGGTGTAACTTTAACACCAAATGGACTTTTTGGTATCTGTTGGCCAGCAAAGAATACATTTACAGAATGCATTCCTGTGGTTTGAGCCACATATTCACATCTATAAACATTATCTTCAGTCTTGCGAATTCTACAAGGAACAGTATTTCTGTTTCCTTTGGGATCAAGTATTATTACTTCAACTTGGCCACGTCCAGCATCTGAGGAACAAAATGATAAAAATTTAGTAAATAGAAACATGTCTTTGAAAAACGTTACACATATTTTTAGGTCATCCATAAAGTAAACTTAAAAGTACAAATTTTCCATTAAATATTAATATGCAGTTTACATAACTTAAATAAAATTTTAAAATTTGAATTATAATTTATTAAATTTAAAATTTAATATTAAAACCGAAAACTACATCATATTGCCTCTACTTATGTACTAATTTGCATTAATGTAATTTTTACTAGCTATAAATTTTAAATTAGCCTGTTTTTCATGAGCAGTTACTCTTAAGGTAAGAAACAAATTAGTCCATTTAAATATATTTTTTGTGCAAAATTTAATTATTCATATTATTAATTTACCCAAAAGAAATGAATACTTAAAATATGTATTATATTAATATATTATTTAAAATATTAATATTTAAAAATATATTGTTACTTTTTTGTATTTAGTTTGCTATCTTTAGTAGAACTGTTATTAAATTGTTTCATTTCTCAGTGCAATGCTGAGCACGACAAGTTTTAAGAAAAAGCTATGCCAAAAAAGTAAAAATACAGGAGCACTTGCATTTAACAATTAAAAAATACCTCATAATCGTACTCTTGCTATTCAGAAAAATCTAGAAAATACCTGAAATGTTCTCGTGCCTGATTAAAAAGCTTATAAAAGCCAGATCAAAACATCTCAATTCAGTTGCTTGCTTAGTGATGTGATTGATTGTAGTGAATTTGGGCTGAGATCGGATTAGCTTTCTCTGTATTTTTGAATAGAGTTCTATTTAACGTTTTAGTAGTTTAAAATATTACTACTGTGAGATATTGTGATGTATGAATATCTTGCATTCAATCCATTATGAATCCATATGAACACAACAATATTTTACAATACAAAAGTCAGGCAATAAAACAGTGAAAAAATTTTATAAATTCCAACATTTCTATTGACAGCAGCATATTAATTTCTGAAAAAAGTTGAATACACAACAGAATGAGGACAGTATATCTTAAATTAGGAATTACTCTTAATAAAAATTAGCACATTTTGTGACTATTTTTAAAATGTGTAATAAATGTATTATACTCATTACAAAAATTTGATTTTTAATGCCATATCAGACAGAAAAAGTTACACGAGCCAGTGAAGGAAAGCACCTTTGGTAAATATATCAAAATATGTTGGTTTTCCAACCATAACACCAGTTGGTTCTAAACCTGGACCAGAAGCTGTAACTTTGGCTGGATCTCCAGCATGTCCTTCAACCATCACATTGAAAGGACTCTTTGGTACTTCTTTGCCAGCAAACAGAACTTTAACCTAGAGAGAAAATAAAAGTCTCAATTTACATAGTATATCATTTACATTCCTCTCTTTTAATCAGTTAAATAGCTACGTTTATGCATCAGTACAAAATCACAAAAGTCACAATAGGATCGCCACAAATTATATGGGTGTTGAAGGACATCAAATTTCCATTAGTTGCAAAAAAATGTATGGTAATACATTTTTGGAATTGGAATGGAGGTTTGTGTAATTTATATGTCCTGTGATAAAATCATGCATGGTTGATACAACTGCAGTACTTGTTTTGTTCAGTGAGCATTAAACACTGAATGCTACCAACATACAGTCATGCAACCAAAATCCATTCGTCAATTGTGACTGTGAAAGAGAAGTGGATATTTTGTGAAAATCATATGCATTTGTCACACTGCTTGTGAAGATGATGCCCCAAGAAAGGACTTCAAAGGCACCTTTGTACCTTAAAGATTTTCACAGCATAGTGATCCAATAGTGTCATTTACTGCAACCCTGATTAGTATAATGGTATGTGATGCTGGCTGGCATATCATTGAGCCTATGTTTAAATCCTTTGATGGATGTTTGTAACAGTATATTGTCAGTGTGGTATGGGAGCACTTAAAATACTGGCAAACTGAAAGTGATTTGGTGGCAAGAAAAGAGTGTGGGGTGACTCAAGGTGAGAGACTCTGATATTGTTGGAATAAAAGTTTCCACAATATATAAATAATTTCTTCAAATTAAAAATGAGAAGTAAATATAGAAAACTAAATGAATGTACGAGGGCCATCCAGGAAGTAGATTACGTTTCCGTCTGTGTCCGCTAGGGGCGGGGCTAGCGCGGCCATCTTCGGGTCAGAGCGTTGCGCAGCTCAGTCTGCATCTAGCCGTGCTAGTGAGAGTTTCGTGCTGTGCTCCGTTCAGATACTGTGACGGTTTGAAATGTCTGCGTTAATTGAAAATCCCGCGAGGTGCGCTCAGTAATAAGGTTTCTGACTGCAAAAAACTGTAAACCAATAGAAATCTATCGGCAGCTTCGTGAAGTGTATGGGGACAACATTATCACTGAAGGTGGAGTGCGTCAGTGGGTCATAAGATTTCAAAATGGCCGAACCAATGTTCACGACGAAGATCGAAGTGGGAGACCCAGCATAGTGACCGCCGAACTTCTCGAAAAAGTCGATGCGAAAGTCCGTGAAAATCGAAATTTCACAATAACGGAACTTTCTTTGAGTTTTCCACAAATTTCGCGAAGTTTGTTGCACGAAATCATCAGCGAAAAGCTTGGTTACCACAAGTTTTGTGCAAGATGGAAGGCAAGAAGAGGTAACGAAGTGGTTGAAGGCGCAGGCGGCCGAATTTTTCGACGAAGGAATTTCCAAGCTCGTACATCGCTACGATAAATGCCTTAATTTGTATGGTGACTATGTAGAAAAGTAGTATTTGAGTGTGGCTTTCATCTGTATATAATAAAATTTGTTTCCTATACTTTGTTTATTTTTTTATTCCAAAACGTAATCTACTTTCTGGATAGCCCTCGTAGTAAGCATTATATTTGAGAATGTCCAATCACACTGGCATTTAGAAGAGTTTTCCAATAAAATCTCAAATAATAAACTATTAGTTACAATTCTCAAATATCATACTTATATATGTATATTAATGAAGTTGATTATAAAGGAAAATAATGTTATTTTATTAAAATAACATTATTTTCCTTTAATAGTTAAAGAACATTATTTCCAAGTTTGGTGGACTGAAATGTCGCCACGCCTCTTTTATCACCATGCTAAGTATTGTATTTGAATAAAAGTAACTGATCACTACATTAGCTGTAACCGTATCTCACAGTAGATCATATGCCTTCCAGTAATTTTGAGAAGCAAAAAGTACTAGAAATATCTTGGTGGCAGGTAAAAACTACTTAAGACCGGAGAGAGCATCAGTTCTCAGTTGTTAGATCACTGCGACTTCGAAGTATTAAAAGGTTCACCTTTTAGGTGTGCTTTGCTTGCGTTGTGTTTAATGTTCTTGGTAGTTTGAATTGTAACTACCGATTGTACTCCATGATACTGCGAACACCTGCATGAGTATTTCTGTGGGAAGTTCCAGAACTCTGAAGTGTTTCTTTTCATAAAAAAATTTTATCAACCTATCACTAGATCTGTGTGCATTCAATCTATTATGAACCTATATAGATACAATAATATATACAAGCACAGAGTTTGTGAATTTCAGACAAAGCTTTTGGCAGCCCTAGGTGACATGCTGTTATGTTAATGCATTTCTCCTACTTGACTTGAAACTGATCGGCTTTAGCTTCAATGAGACACATTTACTTCACAGAATATTTAAGCTCTGAGCCAAAGGTTCCTTAAAAGTGTGCTTCTTTGTATTGCATATTTTAATCATTTGTTCTACATTTCCCGCAAGTAGCAGATGTCGAGTTCCTGTTATCATATTAGTTTGTATAATGATCAAGGTGATGTCTTAGTAAGTTTTTTTAAACCATCATTTGAATATGTATTTTACTGAAGCTGGAAGATGAGATGGAATGAAAAGTCTTTCTTTATGGTACTAAGAGTTGGCATTTGACACAGTATTGAAACTGTACAGTATGGCATAAATGACTTTACACTGACAACTTATGCTTTATACAAGGATTTACTTTACAATGAACTTAATATGATTAGAAAACTATATTATTATTTTTCTAAATATTAATACTTTATAGAAGAGATGACCAACTTGCTTTTTATTGAAATATTTTATCCAATCCCCCAAAAAAATTATTTGGTCACATATAAAATTTACAAAACTTAATGCACTCAAATCCTCTGGACTAACTGATGACAAGGAGTTAATATAAAAATATTAATTTTTATCAATAATAAAGCCAAGTTTATGCTGCTACAATTTGGTGGTCATCTTGATTAATATAGAATATTACTTGGCACCCACATAGACTCAGCACTGTTTCTACAGATAGTGCAATACATGCATTTCCACAGTACGGTAAGTTTTGAAAGATGGCAAAATTGGCCTCATATGTATAATTAACATAATTAATTGGCAAGAGGCAAATGATATGCATTTCCTACAGTTGACACTGGATGAACCAAATATTTCTTTGTAATAAGTCTTCTAGTAATACTAGCATGTGCCTTGAACTTTGATTCAAATATATATCCATAAATATATCTAATGCATTGATATAATTTATGCCTATTTCAGTGAGTAACATCTTGCCATGATGTTTGTTTGTGTTTGATCATCAACTCAAATTCCATTTAGTTTTATGTGTGTAGCAGGATATTCTATCGAATTTCGAAACTTGCTGGTAAGCATTTCTTCTCCTTATTCGAGGCATAACACAATATTCTAAGCACACTCCAATCTTACAAAGCACTTTGCGAATGAAAAATCCACTACACAACTTTTCTTTTATGCAGTGCTTCAGATGTCGTTTGTCCCTCATGGCTCGAAATACTAATCATTTTTATATCCCAACTTCTTCCTTTCGTGTGAATTTGACGTTCATCAGATCATTCCTTCCTGATGTTGCAATTTTAATGGCCAGCAGTGTACATCTTAAATTAATAGTAAGATTCCCCCCCCCACAAAAGCTAAAATGCATTACATTATTCTATAATTAAGATGCATCTTATGTTTGATGGATTTGAAGAAATATGATACATGTTAAGTACTTTCTTATTAAATGTATATGATACATACACAAATTAATCTTGACATGATTTATGGCTTTAAGCATTAAATATAATTTTCTTCAAATTATGAAGCTTCACTTGCATACTGGTATATCAATTAACAAAACCGTTCAATATAGAAGCATATAATATATTTCAAATATTGCTATATACCATGTTTACTTACTCCCTTTACATTTTAGGATAAATTTAAAAAATAAAAAATAAAAATGTAGTTAAATATTTGATGACAGCAAGGTTTTGATCAGAATTCATTTGTTTAATTAAAATGAAAAGCAAGCTGCATAATTAAATACAGTATCTAACTATTGTATTGAGAGACTAATAAGGAACAACTAATGATGCAGTATTACCTATTCGTTTTCAAAGAATACCTGTAACCAGTATAGTGGATGCAAGGCGAAGTTGAAATGACTTAACTAGATATGGCTTTTATAATTAATGGTAGTTATGCAGTTTATATATATGTGTATAGTAATTACCTGCATGATTTATTTAGCATTTAAATAGTGTAATTATTCTGTACAGTATCATAATTAAATTCTTTACTTTTATTCTGGAATTTCCTTTATTAAAACAACTGATAAGAAAAATTTAAAACAAGAATGTAGCCAAAAAAAAAAAAAAAAAAAAAGGAAATCTTATTTTTGAGTAAATACAGTATTTGATAAACATTCATATTTTAAATAAAATCTTAAGCGTGAACACATATTAAAAAAAGAAAGAGAATTTACCTTATGCAGACCTTCAATTTTAGCAGTATAAGTTACAGTATATGTTTTACTTCTGTCATCATTGAACTTAATTTCCACCTACAAGAATAAAACATTTCAAAAATAGCACTTCAGAATCTTTTTTTTAAATAAAATAAAAACAAAAGATACTCAAAAAATTGTGAAGATACTTTAGAACTTCGTAAGGACTTAAATTGATTCGCCGAATAATATCAAATATTAGGCATCAAATTCTTAAATACAATTATTTTTAAAAGGACTTACTGGTTCAAGTTTCCCTTTGGGATTTTCAATAAGAACTTCAACTTTGCCTTTGCCTGCGCTAAAAGTTTCAATAGTAAACATAGTAGGTGCACCAACATTAACTCCAGTTGGCTCAATTCCAGGTCCATAGCATCGTACTCTGTTGGGATTAGTCCTAGGTCTCAATGGTGCACCTGGTTTCAGCTCAGCCTTAGGATATTGTGAAAGGTAGGTCATCATTGAAAGATCATCTACATTAGGATTGACCATTTCCTCTGGTTTCACCAACTGAAAGATGAGAAAAAGGCAAATGAAACATAATTATTGTACTGATTAATTTTGGTTTCTTAACAGAAAGCATGGATCTGAAAGTTTACACTTAAGAAATGTTTAGTGTTACATATGTTGGATATTGCTATTCATTATATTGTATTTTACTTTAGATGAATCTAATATTTAAAATTAAATGACATTAGCTGGTATGCAGATTACAAAAAAAAAAGTTAAAGTTGCACAACTGGTAAAAAATGAAATGCAGATATTTTTAAATCCAATTTCAAAGTTCTAAAAATTATAGAATGATGACACTTGGTTGCTTTGAGAATTATTAAAGATATAATTTTATCAAGCATTGGATAAATATAAACTAAAGTGCTTTAAGAAATTTTTATTACATATCAACATAAGCACAGATTGTCAAATTGTTGTGTGCAATTTGAATTCAGGGAAGAGTCACTATGGCTAAGCTGAAATGCTTTGGCCATAAAATTTGTATTGAATTGTGTAAAATATACATAAAATTTTGAGTGAATTTACTATTTAAAAAATCAAAACCTTTTAAACTAGCAAAAATTTAAACAAATGTTTATTCTGGCGACTTTCAAACTAGTAAAAAGTTACAAAAATTCGTTTATACAGATTTGACTTTCAAGAATGAGATTTAACTGCGAATAAAACTTAAATGAGTTTGAGGGAATTGATTTTATTGAACGCAAACTCCACCATCTCCAGTCTTGTTTCAAACTTTAATGATGGTAATAACAGGTTTAGCAATAAATTTTAAACTATGTTAAGTAATATATATATTTTAAACTATGTTAAGTATATATATATATGATAATATTACAACTAGATAAATAGTACAAGATTATTACAACTTTTTCACAAAATGCCAAATATAAACCTGCTACTGAATTTTAACAATATCATGCATATGAATATTTAGACTCTCAAAACTATTTCAAACTTTAAAATTGTGACCATGAAGATGCATTTAAAAACATATGAACAGAATTTTCATAAAAATTAGTCATTTAGATGGGTTCTAACATACTTGTGGAATACCCAACCAATTATCAGCAAGATTCATAGCTTCTTTAGCATTCTGTAAAGCATTTTCAGGCTTCATGTCACACCAGTCTGGGCATAAACCTATTTTGAAAGAAAAACTTATTTTTAAAATAATTTCTAAGAGAACATTACATAACTTAAAATCATTTATTGTAAAACACTACATAACAACTTACTTGTTAAGCTAATTGTTTGTATACACATTAAAGAAAAAGAGAATCAATGACTGGTTAGTTTATTGAAATTACAGCAAAGCACACTAGGACTATCTGCCTATGGGGAGGGATGCCGTCATGGAGGACTTTTTAAAAAAAAGCTTGCTGACATACACATGGGGAAAACCATGAAAACGCCCATGCAGCATGGAAATGAATCCAAGTCTGAACTCAGCAAATTTACTGGTTGGCCGCTAGTAACCTCAAGAAGCAATGGACTAGAGAAAACAAAAATTTAAATGTGTATGATACTGATCAAAGCACTAAGTTTTAAGCTGTCAGACTGAGTTAGCTTTTACTCAGAATGAGCAAAGGATAACTGCATACAAGGAAAGAAAGTAACCTAGAAACAATTTAGTGGGACACAATTAGTCTTCTAAATGCCTTCCCTTCCCCAATTTTTTTTTTTTTTTTTTTTTTTTTTTTTTTTTTTTTTTTTTCATTGATGAAATGCTGTATATATTTAAAACTAAAGGATTAAGCTTAAACAAATAGCAATCTAAAGAAAGAGGACAGGAAGTATCTGAAAGTGGCACACATGTATTTAAATATCTACTATGCATTTTAGCAGTTTAATTAGGAAATGAATAAATATATAATAATAAATAAATATGGTAAAAAGGCAATTTTAATTCTAAGGAATAAGAAACTAACTTTCAGATAAATTTGCACGATTTTCTAAGAAAGAACTTGATTAACAATTTTATACTAGTTAATATAGTAAAATTTTAGTATCCGAGTTCAACTAAATTTTAAAACAATCTCTTTTATGAAAAAAATCATACTGAATTTTAAAATTTAATGAAAAAAACTTTATAATTTCCCAAATTTTTCTTTTCTTTTTTAAATAGAGGTTAACAATTTAACATACTTTTTCAGTATCTTACTGAAATATTTAATTTAAAAAAATTATAGATGTTTTTAAAGTTGGCATCAGGATGAAATCATTCTTAGACACTAAACTACTTCATCAGATAATAATGATGTTAATTCACATCATCTTATAACAATATATTAGTGAAAACAAAATACTGATTTTAATTTAAGTAAAATACTTATTAAATCATCATAATTTACCTGGAGCAAGAGCATCCACCAAAGCAGCAACAGCTCGGCCATCATTCCAGTCAGAATTAAAATTATTAATAGGCAAGTCAGGGAGTTTACTCTGAATCCAGCCAAGTAACCTCTGTTTTGGTGATGGCCCACCTTTCTTGTCAAATACTGAATCTCCTTCTTCTCCCTCCCACATAGGAAGGGAAATAGAATAATGAAGAATAAGTGTCCATATTAAACCAAGGATAAGTTTTAATTTGCAATCTACAATATCTGTACTATCTGCAAGGAAAAAAAGTTTTTTTAACTACAGGAAAATGTTTTAAAAATAATTGCATGATAAATTACAAATATTTGATGGCTAATATTCACATAATGGCTAATTCACATAGTATATTTAAATTTTGCAGAATTTTAAAATTAAAAACAACTTTAAAATATCATTAGTTTGTTTCACTAGGTCACTCCATATAACTACATTTCTTATCACACTTTCCTAGTGCGCTGGTTCTCAACTCCACGCATCCCCTTTCATCACTGCCAGAAGAGCATTCCCTCTCTCAGCCCTTTCCAAAATTTGGAAAATATATACTATATTTTCCAAATTTTGGAAAGGTTTAGTTAGATTTTTTAACATGTTTTATAAATTAAACAAGAAAAAGGATACAATATGTTGATAAATACCAAAACTTGAACAAAAATAACTTTTTATACTTCTAAACAAAAACTAAATACTTAACAGCTGAGTAAAAGGCTGACTACATTTCCCCCATGAAGCTATGAAATTCCTCTGTGGTTGAGAACCCTTGTTTGAGCGGTTGTTTTCAGATGACTTTCAGATTTATGTGAAATGCACAGAAATATTCGTGATAAGATAACAACACCTTGTAGTGTCTTTCCCCCATGTGACTATTCTACTGTTACCTGAATAACTGTTCCCATTATTTTAGCTGTGCACTAAGCAATAAGATATACACCAACATTTTCAGATTACCTCAGTAATAATAAGAGACAGTTTGACCATGATGTTCTTTCTACAGGATGAAATTATAAACCACACACTAAATATAAGCATGACTAGATACTTCTTCAGCTTCCAAAATCGAGAGAGGAAAAACTATGGACATCTCATAATAACACTTTAACTTTTCACACTGTAATACTTCTAAATCTTTCTTTAGATGACTTTAAAAACAACAGCAATGGAGAAATATCAGCTAATGATTAGGACATAAAACACAGGACATTCACTGATACACTCACTTTCAATTATATCAGCAATGATAGCAGACATTTCAAAAACTTTTCTTTTTTGAATGATACTTGCCACATTCCCACTTTTCTTTTTTGAATTCCCATGTAGACTACAGTAAATTAATAAACCACATGCCACTTTTCTATATGAAGTGCACTTCAAATTACACCTAATTTTTGGAAGACTCACCAGTGAGACATCTAAAAGATTTCAAGAGTTTACAGAAATATATATATTACAATTCACTAAGAGGAACATGTAAAAATTACTAAATGTTGTGCAGAAGAAAGTTTAGATCTTATTTTTAACCTGGTTTTATTTAATTTGAATTCTCTTTTCTATCAAACTTAAAATTAACATCCAGCTTTGTTCTACTAACTCAATTTCCTTGAAATGTTTCAGTTATACACACTTGCAACAACCATATAGTATTCCACAAAAACCTTTTCAAAAACTCATTTTAAAATTTTGATAACAGAATTTTTACTTTGGCACTGAATTCTTTTCATATCCCTATATAACAGTCAAAGTTATTGTAGGATTCTCCCTCCTCATCAAATAGATAAAAATTAATCTAAATGGAAATTTTCAAAATTTCAGTAATAATTTGCTGATTTCTTAAAACTGCTAGATTTTTCTTTTATTGCATAGTTCATAATAATGATGAATTGTTTGTCCAAGATTTAATCCTTTTTTATTATATGCCCCATGATTTGAAGTGATGATAAAATTGGCTATCTAAATCAAACAGAAATTTAAATGAATTAAACGTAAGTTATGCGATTAATCAGAAGATCTTGAAAAAAAGATGTTGTGGATTACTTTATTGCTATACCGATTAGGAGAAATAATTTTCTCATGTTTAAATATGCTAATTTGCTTTGTTTATTTCATATTTTAAACATAGTCTAATAGGTTTTTCAAAGTGGTAAACATGAAAAATCAGCAATCAGATTTTGAATTCAAGATCGTCTAAGTGGTAGCATATCTGGCTACCACTTGGATGTGAAGGCATGCAGTGAAGAAGATGAAAACTCCTTACATATAGACTAAAAAGTGTACATATATATATTTTTAAACACAGCTTTAAGCAAATATGCTAAAGTAAAAAAGTAACTTTTGTACCTAATTTATTGTTCTTTATAATACGTGACAAAAAAAGAAAATCATGAAATCCCATGTAAGAACTGTACTAGAACATTAACAGAGTTTTAAAAAACAATAAATGATAATGCAAAAATCAGATACAGCAGAAAAATATATGAGAATACTACATTCAATTTATCACAGTTTCTCGATAATTTTGTTTAAAATCTGCCTCTACAAACAGTCCCTGATTTTATTTTAATATCCCATATGACCGTGAATAATAAAACAGCTAAAATTTTACTTGATTTTTTACTTTTAAGATCACTCAACTAAAGCTTCATAATATAAGTTTCTTAACATTTCATTTTATAAATATTTAAATAAGTAGGATTTGAAATATTTGATTACGGCAAAGAACACTCAGAATATCTTCCTACAGGGAGGCATGTTTCCATATACAAATTTATAAAGGACAATGGCTCAAATTCATATTGCACATGGAAGAAACTACAAAAACACCCATGCAGACAGCCTCTCTGCTGGAATTCAAACTTGAGTCAAATTATTAGTTTAAAAGTTCTTATCAAATAGAGCACTGGCAGACATTTGATAAGTTTTATGTATATAAGTAATAATATACATTTCTGATGGCATTTGTATTTTACAAAATGCATCAAGACCAGTTATTTTTTAATTTTAGTTTTGTGTATGTGTATTGCATGTGCATACATATTCTAAAATTTAAATCAGAACTAAAAGGTTAAAAATACAGAAACTAATTTTTAAAATTTTATGTAATTAAACCCCATGAAATTTTTAAAACCCATTGCAATTTGTAACAAACTGTGTCTTTACCCAAATAACCCAGTTACATCAACATAGTAGAGACTGATTTAATTTAATCAATAAATAAAAGTATTAAAACGGTAAAATTACATAATATTGAAAAACACTACAGAATAAATAAAAACAATGATTTGTAATAAAGCACTTCATTAAACATATAAACTTTTGATATTTTATCAATGCAACCAATTCTTCAGGTATTTTCCGTATACAATTTTCTCTCTTGGCTGTAAATCTTATAAAAAAAATTTTTAAAAATAATAATAATAATAATAATAAACTCATAGAATACATGTATTTCCCCATTACATTAAAAAATCTATAATAAAAATTTTATTTATGTTTTACTTAATATATATTATAGCATCAATCAGGTCTTCTTTTTCTTGCTGTATAAATGGCTTAATTTCTTTGTAATTTTAAAAAATGCAGTCCCTTTAAATCATTTATGAGCTATTTTTTGCTTTCTCCAAACACTAGCAGGGCTAGATTAACATTAAGCAACATAAGCTCTTGCTTAGGGCATCAAAGAAAGGAAACACGCCAAAAAGGTCATTGGGAATTCAGGAAAAAAGAAAAGAAAAAAAAAAAAAGTCTTCCATTCCCAGTTTCACATGGAATGCACAGTGCAGCTAAACAAAAAAAAAAAAAAAAAGAAAGAAAAAGAAAGAAAGAAAAAGAGAGAGAGAGAGAGAGAAAAAAAATGAAAAAAAAAAAAAAACTGGCATAAACATATATGGATCCTCAAAATCTTTTAAGTGCTTAAGGCCTCTAAGAGTCTTCTGTTAATACTAGCTATTCTATGTAGCTGTTCTGGGAAAAGGAGAATTTCTATACATATCAATGTAATTTAAATAATAAACAGTTTATATAATATAGCGAATAACTCTGATTTAAGTATATGTTGCTTATTAAATATCTAATAAAATGTCAGAAGTGTAACACTCTTTAGCATGTGCTTAGTATTATGCTTCTGAAATTATTTTAATTATAAATGTTATGAAAATCTGTTTTACATACCATGAAACCCATAAAACAACAAATTTTCTTACACAATTTTCTAATAATAAATGTGGACTTATTCAAAATGGAATTTTTTTTTAATTTCAAATATTATTTTTATAAGTATTTGATAACTTTTTAATATATATAACAAAAGATAATTTTTTCATTATATACATATATATATATAAATTAATTATAATTAATCTTATTTTTATTGTATTTGATACCAATAATAATATAAATGTAAAATTAGTATTTCAATTTCAGAATTCATATTTCAGAATGAGTCCATGAAAATATCCGTCTTTCCGTTTCATATATTGATCATTTACAATTTTCTTCTGTAAAGGAGACAGAAAAATGGAAATTCTTATTTGCATATTTATAATAAAATTAGTGATGCTATAAATGTTGATTATACGCAAAGCAAAGTGCGCAAAATTTGTAGCACAGCATATGTTGAATAAAAATTTAATTGAAATTCAATCAATATACTATGCATATTTTCTTTGTAGCTTTCAGAATACAGTGCATAAAATGTGAAAATACTTTTGGGGTAAACTATTATTCAGATGTTTAAAAAATTTTTAAATGTCAGATTTTTCTCATTGACAGCCTTTTAATCAAACTTAGCTTCGGATTATCCAGTTATAGGTTACAAGTAATGCCAGTACTATTCATTTAAAATAATTCTTGAATTATCATGTAGCTCAATCCAAAAATATTCAAATGTTAACTAGACCCATAGTTTTTGAAAAAATCCACATTCAAAAGAGAGTGTTTTATAAAATGTGTTTAATCTTTGAAAAATTGCCTAATCTTTCAAAAATACAATTCCAATAAAAGCATCACAATTAGCCTAGGCTATTAAGAACTTCACGTAAATATATACTTCCTATAAATAACAATTTAGCTTTTTTGGCAAATATATCTGATCTACCAACATCAGTACTTTAAAATTCACACACAAAAATAATTTGTAGTCGTCTATAGGAATAATTAATGCCTGGGGATATATTTGATCTTTCATGAATATCGTTTATAATTTTCTAATTTTGCAGGTCATGCAGAAATTAGCAATTTGTAC